CTCCCCCCGCCCGCGCCCCCCAGGCCAACGGACGTCCCAGCTTGTGCGCAAGGAAGTACATGGTCGGTAAATTTCTCGGCAGAATGAAAAGGCTGCTGCTGCTGCTGGGCTCCCAATTTTTAAATCTGGCAGGCGGAGTGTGGGACGGCGTGGAGGCGAGCCCGGCCCGGCCCGCAGCCGTCCGCACAGTGAGGCGATTTCGGAGCGCCTTAGAGCGGAATGGGAAAAGGGGGGGGGGGGCGCTTGGGGGTTACATACCGTCAGGAATTTCAATTAAGGGCAAGGACAGGAGCCGCGTGCCGTCCCCAGAGCCGGGCGCGGGCACAGAACTCAGGGCCTGGACACACCGGCCGGCAGCCACGGGGGTCACAGGTCCGCGGGCAGCCTGCGACCCCTAGGAGCGGCCCGTAGAGAGGAAAAAGACGGGAGAAAAGGAGATCGTCCGAGGGATGAGAAGCCGGCACTTGCCAGCAGAAATCCGGCGCACGAAAAGCATCTTACAAAATATGTCGACGTCGAGGACGGCGGCAAAATAAAAATATGCTGCTTTAAAGCTTAGCCGCTGAGAGCCACTGAAACTCCTCCGTGCTGGAGGGGAAGGGAAGGGTTGGTTGGCCGCCGGGCCGGGCAGCGCGCAGCACATCCGCTCCCATGTTTTGTGTGGCCACGCATGTCCCCCTCCCCTGCCCCCCCACAGTTCCGTATGCCCTGGCCGGAGAAACAGCCCCGGGCCTCGGGACATTGGCCGTGCCGTGCCGTGGCCCGCACCAACACTGTCAGCGATGGGGCGGGAGCACACAGCGACAGCGCAGAGTCCCCTAAGCTCTCGCCCATAAGGGGGTCGTTCTCTATTGGCAGAGGTCAAAAAAAAGTATTCCCCCGTCCTGCCCCGCCGGGGCTGTGTGCGAGGACCCTGTATCGCATAATCTTGCCGTTTGCATCGCCCATGCCGAGGCCGGGAGTAGCGCCGCCGGCGGGGCCGGGCGGGCAGGGGCGTGGTGAGCGCGCCATATGGAGCGTTCTAATGCGGACCGCCACTGCTCGCCGCCTCCGCCCGACATGACAGCGCTGACGAGCGCGCGCCCCCGACACAAAGAGGTCACGCCCCCCTGCCCCCTGCTGCCCTGCCCTCCCTCCACCACGCCCCTCCTGATCGCTCTGAGCAGCCAGTCTTTGTGCGGCGCCGGGCTTTATCCTGCAGGGCGCCCTCAAAAGCACTACTCGCCGTGCAAGCCGAATGCGAATACAGCAGGCGCCGTCACCCCCACCCCACAACCCCCGCCTCTCCACAATCGTATCGCCATCTGCGCTCGCGCAACTACTTCCGGCCGCCAGCGGCCGCTCTCGCCTTCAAGTGTAGTCATGCAGCAGCAGCAGCAGTTGTTTCCACAATGACGCGCGCTATTCCTCCTCCTCCTCCAGCAAAACTCAACAGCTGAAGGGAATTAGCCGACCATTCGTTCGACACTCCCAAAGTGTTGGAGAGGGGAGGTGGTGTGTGCGCCGGCCGCAAGAGTTTCACGCGCACCATGCGGCTGCCCGCCACTCTAACGGCCATCCCGGCCAGCCGACCCCCTCCTACCCGGCAGATGCTGTAGTTTTGCGAGTGCGCCGCGTCGCCGTCGTCGGGAGCGCCCCCCTTGGGGGCAGCGCCACGCCATGCCCGCCAGGCTGCCGAGCAGACTTCGTGCCTCCCCCCCTCGGGGACGTGCACGCCTGCGTCCTCCTGGGGCCTGCGCCGCCAGCCGCCTGCAGGGGGCCGCCCGCCGCCCCCCATCCTGGGGACGCGCCAGCCCCAGCCGCCACCGCCGCCGCCCTTACAAAACAATCCGACACATTTAGGCCGCCCCCGCTGCCGCCCGCCATGCCG